TGGAAAACCGGAGCGGTATCCCTAGTACGATGTTCATGCCGAAAAGTGCCCTTCCTTCTCCCTGATGAAGATCCCGAACAAAGCTGGGGAATGGAGGTAGAAGAAGGAGACACCATTCTCATTATAGACTTCGAAGAAGCATTGCACATTCGAGCAATGGGAAGTAAGGCCAACGAGCTAGCTGCCAAAGCCAACCAAGCCAAAGAAGCAAAAACATTCAAAGAAATAGTACCGGAACCTTACCGGGAGTTTTGAGACGTATTTGCAAAAGAAAACTTTGATGAGCTACCACCCTGAAAACCATGGGACCATGCCATAGAACTTCTCCCCAACGCAAACACGAGTTTGGACTGCAAGGTCTACCCTCTTAATCCCGCAGAACAAGAAGAGTTGGACAAATTCCTGGACGAAAATCTAGAATCCGGGAGGATTCGACCTTCCAAATCCCTGATGGCATCCCCCTTCTTCTTTGTCAAGAAGAAAGATGGGAAACTTAGACCCGTACAAGACTATCGGAAGCTGAACGAGATGACCATTAAAAATCGCTATCCCCTCCCTCTTATCGGGGACCTAATGGACCAACTCAAGGATGCCAAATATTTCACCAAACTAGACGTCAGATGGGGATACAACAATGTACGCATAAAGGGAGGAGATGAATGGAAGGCAGCCTTCCGGACAAATCGAGGATTATTTGAGCCAATGGTGATGTTTTTCGGACTCACCAACTCCCCGGCCACGTTCCAATGGATGATGAACGACTTGTTCAAAGAACAAATCACACGAGGAGATGTCACTGTCTATTTAGACGACATCCTAATCTGTACCAAAGACAAGGATAGACATCGTACCATCGTACGAGAAGTACTGGCCATTCTCCGTGCAAACAATCTTTTCCTAAAAGCGGAGAAATGCAAATTCGAGGTATTAGAGACCAAATACCTCGGAGTAATCATCAGCCAAGGGTCGATTCACATGGACCCCGTAAAAGTCAAAGGAATCATGGAGTGGCCCCAACCCACCAAGAAACGAGAACTACAATCGTTTCTAGGGTTCACCAACTTCTACCGAAGATTTATCCGGGACTATAGCAAACACGTGCGACCACTGACCCAACTCACTGGAAAAGCCGAGTGGGCATGGGGAGCGGCCCAAGAAGATGCGTTCCGAGAAATCAAGAGGAAGTTAGCGGAAGAAGTAGTACTGGCGATACCTACTCGTACTGGAAAGTACTGGGTAGAAGCAGATGCAAGCGAGGGAGCTATAGGGGCAGTCCTATCACAAGAACAAGCGGGAAAGTGGAGACCGGTAGCGTTCCTATCCAAAGCCCTGACGGTCACAGAACGCAATTATGAAATATATGACAAAGAACTACTGGCCATTATGCTTGCCCTAGAAGACTGGAGGCATTACCTCATGGGAGCTCACCAAGACTTTGAGGTATGGACGGACCATCAGAACCTGCAATACTTCCGAAAACCCCAAAAACTCAACCGCCGACAAGCTAGATGGGTGATGGAACTTGCAGAATATCATTTCATGCTACATCACAAACCGGGGACAGCAAACAAAAAGGCAGATTTACTATCCCGAAGGGCAGACCATGACCAGGGAAGTGAGGATAACGAAGAAATGATAGTCCTAAAGCCGGAAATGTTTCGAGCTCTCGTCATGCCCGAAGAAGAGGAGGTACACAAGAAAATACGAACGGCATTACGAGACGTGACCAAGTGGGACAAGGGAATAGGGGCATCTCTCCATCATCCCAGAGGAATCACCCAGAAAGAAGGCCTAATGTATTACGATGAATGGCTATACGTACCCCGAGACGCCAAGCTACGAGGGGAACTTATTGCCATTCACCATGATCATATCACAGCCGGACACCCAGGCATCGAAAAAACGAAGGAACTCGTTCAACGCAACTACTGGTGGCCCAAACTAAAACAGGACATAGAGAGATATGTAAAAGGATGCGAAGCTTGCCAACGAACAAAAACAAGCACCCAGAGAAAGAGAGCACCCTTACATCCACATGCGGTACCGACACGACCATGGGAACACATCACCGTGGACATGATTGGTGAACTACCAGACTCCAATGGCTACAATGCCATCCTCATGATTGTAGACCGCTTCTCGAAAGAAGTAATTCCCATTCCTTGCTCCACCAACCTAACGTCCGCAGGATGGGCCCGAATTCTTCATGACCATGTCTGGGCAAAACACGGCATGCCACAAAAAGTCATCTCAGACCAGGGCCCACAATTCGTGTCCAAATTCATGAAGGAATTATATGAAATGTTGCATATCCAAGGGAATCCCTCCACAGCATATCATCCACAGATGGACAGACAGACGGAAAGAGCCAATCAGGAGATTGAAAAATATCTCCGAATTTTCATAAACCAGAGGCAAAATGACTGGAGCGAGTGGTTACCTCTCACAGCCTTCCAGCATAACAACCGCAAACACTCCGCAACCGGATATTCCCCATTTGAAATAAATCACGGACAAAGACCTCATCTTGTGCTGCTCACAATCAAAGAAGGAACCAACCCAGCAGCCAAGGACTTCGTTGCGGAGATACAAAAAATACACAAGCAGACAGCTATAGCCCTGGAAAAGGCAGCAGAGACAATGAAACGCCAGTATGACAAGCATCAAAGACCGGCGATAGAATATCAACCAGGTGACAAGGTCTGGTTAGATGCCACCAATCTCCACCTCCCTCGACCAATGAAGAAGCTCGGGGACAAACGTGTAGGATCTTTTGAGGTAATTGCCAAGAAGGGCACCTCCGCGTATGAACTAAAGCTACCTATGGGCTGGAAAATCCACAATCAATTCAACCAAAATCTCCTAACCCCATATCACCCACCGGAGTTCCCAATTCAAATACAACCACTAGCACCACCACCAGATCTGGTGGATGGACAAGAACAATACGAGGTAGAAGAAATAGTGGACAGACGAGAACGCACAGTGGGACGAGGTCGCAGGCGCCATACCAAAACAGAGTACTTGGTCAAATGGAAAGGCTATCCGTGGGAAGAGAGCTCCTGGGTGGACGAACAAGAATTGGACAACACGAGGGAAGCAATCGAGGACTACGAACAAGTATCCTTCATCACACACCCTCCCCAAGACTGGTGGGAAAACGAAGACGAAACCAACTCTTGGTCAGAAACAGAGTCGGTAACGGAATCAGAAGTAGACCACCCCCTAGTGCAAGCCATACAAGAGTATCTCGTTCGACCAAACCCAGACTCCCTAGTCAGCGCATACCTACCGAAACCAAAGTACACTGCAGTCGGGATGACTGCCTTGACAGGGGGGTAATATTACGATTCCATGCTTTATCTTATCTTATCGATCTCGTTGTAATCATGCTATGCTAATTCTCTGATTCTGACCGCATTAAACCACGCAGGTATCGTGTGTTTAACGTGCCATTACAGACTCGTATACTATATTTAGAACGACTCAAACTGTATTTAAGTAGCTGGACTGCAGGTCTTAAACCTCAGTCTCGAACTAAAGTTTATTCACCCGATAACTTAGTCTGAACTCACTCTCGATTCGCTAAGCGGTAGCTCCCTGCACATAAACCTGCGGACAACACAAAGTGCCTGACCGAAGTGCGAGTCATGCTTAGTTGTTTGATCTTGTTTGTGTAATCGGTCGCTAACAATGTCCCATCATGGCGAAATGCCAAAGATGACCCCATTGCTACTGGAAGTCACTCTCTTGTTGGTCTCTCATTGGCTAATTTTTCCTATCGCTTTGTATGCAGCAAGAACACACAAGTTGGGCTGCATATAGAGATGCAAATGATCAGACAACACTGACTAGTAATGTCCTTTACTTTCGGAACTCATTATCAAGTATACTACATTTCCTGGATCTCCATTGCTGGAACGTCCTCAGACAACCTCCGTTCATTGTTTTGCTTGTCATGCCACACCTTGGGCTGGTCCAACCTTCCCAAGCCAGCAGCAACAATGTCGTATGATGAGATCATTGGCGATAGATATCCTTCCTTCCCAATGGCATGCCATATTGTTTAGGCCAAATTCTCCATTCTCTGTACAGTTACCAAACGTCAGTGATTCTTTTATCAGATAGGCATGCTACCACAGCCTCTCTACTCTGGGAATGATATGCTGCCATTCACCAAAACATCGACTCATATGGTGAAAAGAGACATGATTTACCTCATCCCAGAAGGGTTCTGAACCTGAATTGGCTGGTTCGACTGTTTTCTTCTCGCCAGATGGTTCTACTTCCATCTTTTAATGTACTGCATTGATGGCGCAACTGCTATGTCTGACTTGGATACAACAAAAAGGCCTTACAGCCCATCTTTGGATCTCGGCTTGCCAAGACAACCCTGCCAGGCTCTGGATCCAATGTGAATATCCTCCATAGGAGATACCGCAACAAAGATCAATGTCAGTTCACTCCTTCACCTCGTCATTGCCTACTTACTCTTCACTAGATCCACCTCATGATATAGGGGGTTACACTTGTAGTGTACCAGCTGTTTGGTGAATCCACTGTAGAAGACTCGGTCATTGATGCCGTATCATATTTGGCACTGTTGGACTTGCTGCACCTGATTTCAGAAATACCTAGACCAAGCTGTGCAAAGCAGTCTGTGAAGGTTGTAGAGTCCATACATGTGAGAGATACAGATGTGTTCGAAAGGGTAAGACTAGTGTGCTTATTGGGATGATGTTGATGTTTTTGCTTTGGATGCAATACATCGACATTATACCTTTTTTTTTTCCTTTTCCATCTTAAATGTAACCTTAGAGGTTGCATGCTAATCGATAATTCTCAAGAACATAACGTGAGTGACGGTTTCCCATCAACATGGAGGGAAGGATACAGCACGTTGCTGTATGCTGTGACTTTCAACCGTGAAGCGACTGCACTGCCATGCATTACATTGATCATCCCCTGCTTGAGTATAATCTTACCCTTCACCAACCACCATGGCAGAGGCCCTAGGAATCACTTCATCCATTACTGCCCTCATTGGAAATGTCACTACTGTCATCAAATATGTCAAAGGCATAAAGAAAGTGCCTGAAGAATGCACCAAGCTCTTGATGGAGCTGAAGCATGTGAAGACCTGTCTTTCCATGGTGGCAATGTATATTCACTCATAGACTGATAAAGACCCATGGCTGGCAACTTTACTCAAGTTGGGAGATACTTTCACCAAACTTACAGAGATCCTTGATGGACTCAAGAAGAAGCTGGAGGATGCATGGAGAAAGAAGAGGCATAGAGTGAAGTGGCCTTTTACCAAAGGTGACATCAAGGAGGACCTGAGGAAGATCGAGCGTATCAAGACCTTGATTATGGTCGCCAGATAACATGATCATATGTAAGTGATCTTTATGTCTTATACTCGCTCATCAGAGGCTAAGTTTAGTATACAGTAAGTTATCTCATGCAATTCAATGCACATTAGATGATGTCAAATGTGTGGGTGAGGAAATTCTGGATATTGAGAAGCAGAAACAGATGGGTATGATTGTGCTTGGAATCTGCCATTGGATCATATACTGATGCACAGATACATCACAGATCATAAGACTGAGAAAGTAGCAGAGTGGCTCACCTCTTCGGACCACAACATCATCCAACATGATAAGCTGATGCAACATGTTGGCAACACTGGACAATGGTTTCTTGAGTCATCAAAGTTTAAGAGCTGGGTGAATGGTTCTGGGATGTCTTGTACTTTGTGGTGTCACAGCAGTCATGAGTTATTTTTGCAGATGTCTTCATTACTTCCTTGAAGCTTATACATCTTCAGCGGATGCTGGAAAAACCATCCTAGCCTTGATCAGCGTTGATCATTTGCAATCACTGAAAATGGCCCAGACACTTGTTCTGAATCTCTTCTTTGATTACAATCATGCAGCAGAACAAACTGTAGTCAACGTTCTTCATAGCCTCCTGAAACAGCGGGTTCAAGCCTGTGGTCTTTCCACCTTGATCACTGACCTCCATGAGAAATCTGTTGATGCAAAAAAAAACCCTTCCCATAATGACCTTATCAAATGCCTTTCAGAAGAGCTGAAATCATTCCACCATGTCTACATTGTTTTAGATGCACTGGATGAGTTTTCCACCTCTGATGATACTTGAGGGGACCTGATCGATATGATGAGGTTATTAGGCAATAATGTCCATCTCCTTGTGATGTCAAGACCTGGCATCACTGCAATAGAATTGCTCTCTGAAGCAAATACAGGTACCCCCACCCCCACTGAGTTGACAATCTAAGCTACCAATGAAGATATCACTTCATATATCACGAACAAGCTTTCTAAAGGGTACCTTGCCAATATCATCAAAAGAGATCCCACTCTGTGTGATGTGATACTCATGAGAATCATGGACAAAGCTGATAGCATGTAGGTTACTTATGCAATACCAGCTTTCCGTATACTGTATACTGACCAACTTTCCATAGGTTCCTCCTGGCACATCTCCACCTGGAATCACTTGCTGATACTATAAATCCATGGACTCTTTGGGTGACATTGGAAAAACTACCAAAGGATATATGGGACACATATGACAAAACACTCAAGAGGGTGGACCACTATGGTGACTGTCAGAAAGAACTTGCATATCACATATTTGGCTGGATAGCTTTTGCTGTGGAACCTTTGAATGTGACAGAACTGCAGCATGCATTGGCCATTCAACCAAACACTGAGAAGCTTGATCCCATTAATGTTACTGGTGAGGACATTCTTACCAGTGTTTGTGCCAGACTTGTCATAATAGACAGCAAAGGGTCTTTTGTGTTTGTGCATGAGTAGATCTCAGATCTCAATTCTCTCTCTTTATCAGCTGAATACTTTATTAGACTATACTATCCAAGAATATTTCACTCATTGGCAATGCAAACTTTTCCCCAACATCCACGAAGAAATCACATGCACCTGTCTTACATATATGTCATTTGACATTTTTAATTCTCTTGAGGGCTTTAATGGCTGGAACTTTGAGAAGAAGTATCCTTTCCTCAAATATTCATCAAGGAACTGGACCTACCATGCCAGGGCTTGTGGACCAGGCACTGTGGAACAGGAAATCCTTACTTTCCTGCTGACTCAGGCAGAAGCCTTTGCACAGCAGTATCTTGATGATGTGCTGTATGACAGCATTGACAGAGAAGAAATGCCACACACTGCTGCATGGTTTTCTGCCTATTATGGCCTGGTACATGTCATGGCAATCCTGATGGATCAACCTGGGGTTAATCTGCAGAATGAAACTGTGCTGTATATTGCAGTGTACACAGGCTACCCCAACATGGTTGACATGTTGCTGTCACCTCCCTGTAACATGGATGTGAATCAGGTTGCCCCTGAATCTGCAGGTCCCTTCTATGGCTGGACACCTCTCATTGCTGCAGTGTTCAAGGGTCATGAAGAAATCATCAAAAAACTCCTGGAGTCTGGAGGCATGAAAGCATTGAACAAGCTGTCCAACTCTCCATATTGGAGCAGAGCAGTGACAGCACTATCAGTAGCTGTGCAGCATAACAACACTGGAGTGGTTAAGCTCTTGCTATCACAGCCTAACATTGACACCTCCATCAGGTTCAACAACACCCCCCTTATTGATGCTATGTTGTTCAATCATGATGAAATTGTGAGGGTGCTCTTGGAGTGGGGAAAGGATGATCCTAATGCTTTAGTGACCTGGGATGATGGAAGGAATGCTTTACATGTCACTGTTGGATGTGACTATACTGGCAATATCCTCTGGATACTCTTGAACTCAGACCAGATGGATGTGAATAAGACAGATCTCAAAGGACAGACTGCCCTTCATATTGCCACCTACTTGAATAATCTGGAGTTTGTTGAGGTGTTACTAAAGCACAAGGATATTGATATCATGATAAAGGATAATGACAGCAAAAGTATATATGATATAGCAGTTGAAATGGGATACAACAAGATAGCAGCACTGCTTGCAGAGCATAGAGGGAAGGCCCTAGGACTGCATGAGTGATGTGCCAGGTGTATACAATCCTGCTCTCATATACATATATATCCTGTATTCATACTAGTCATACAATTCACATATATTCTGTCCTAGTAATGAGATTGCTACTTCTGTTCATAATCATTCCTTGAAATTTTGATTGTTCTGTGGATCTCATTTTGAAGTCCATCAAGGAGGATTCTGGTATTGATACAATCAGTTTCTTAAGCTGGTGTGTGAGAATGGAGGGAGAAATGGCATTGCAGACCAAGTGCCAGTTTTTCAGCACTGATCCCAGTTCCAGTGAAGGTTGGTTTATTTAGTCACTGGTGAGATCAGATCAACTATTGTGTAAATTATTGCTCCATAGAATTACCACCACTCACACTAGAGATCCAAATCACGCAATGTACATAGTCTATAGTGAAGAAATTAAAGACCAGATACATGAAAGTAAATGTGAATGGAGAAAATGATACAAATGACACATGCGATGAACAGAATGGATTGCAGAATAAATAACAAATGAGAATAACAAGTGATTGATAAAATTTTTTTATACAATTTGGTTGACTATGGCGACTGCAACATGGATAGCGAGCATCATAAGAGACAGAGTACCATAGAGCAGCCTCGCACCCAACCCCATAGAACGCTCTGGAGCAGGCTTTCATAAATTTAGCCTGCTATTTTCAGGTATTGTTAGTAGGCACTCTGAGGGTGTGAAGGAAGACAATGCTGTAGAAAATGAGGGTGAAAGGGGAGGAGGAAACTTCACAGATGGATGTGAGGGTGGAGAGACAAGCCATGCAGGCAAAATGTATGACAGCAATGAAGGGTTTGTGTTCACATCCAAATACTGCTCTCAGACCTTCAGTGAATCTGTCAAGCACCAACTTGGATAAGCAAGGTTGAGCTTTAGTTCATCACTCGCACTTTGGTGAAGCAAAGCAAAGGTAGCAATGCAGACCACATTAAGTAGATGGGACTTAGATAGTCATGGAACTTGGAGTTCAGGTAAGAGTTGAGAGTGTGTAACCTTAGCTGAAGCTGGGGTTTTAGCCCACAGCTGAGGCTGCTTAAATACAAGTTAGGTATGCTAATAATAACTATGCTACTATGGTTCCATGATAGAGAATGAGTGCAACATGGCCAATGGCAAACTGCCAATGAAAGAACTACCTAATGGTGAGTGGCCAGCGAGATGAGTGAGGTTCTGGAATCATGGTGCCCTTGTGGTCAGGACTCCACCTGAGTAAGAGTGTCTATGCTCATCTGCTGCAAACCAGGGATTAAGTGATGCAGAAGTGACTGTTGATGATCAGAATGATGATGTGATGATGGAAGCATGATGTGATGTGAGGGTATCAGTGAGCAGGTTACTAATGAGCTGGACAGGAATGATGATGAGAATTTGATGACGATCAAGGAAGAATGACATGAAGCAAATGACTAAAGCGAAAAATAGGGGTGAATTCATGACATTACCCCCCCACTAAGACTCAGTCGTCCTGATTGAGTCAGTGTCAGATTCGCCATCTGAGGACAGGTAAGAGTCATCCAAGTATGAATCTTCATCCTCGGCATCCATAGAGAGAGCTTCCAGGCATTGCTTGTACTGTAGTACAAGCTCTTCAGCATTGGCAAGCTGACTTTGCAGTATCCATGTTGCTTCTTCAACTGGATAGCCTTTCCATTTGATGAGGTATTCAGTGATGTGGACTTGTTGCTTTCCTTGCCTGATGGCAGTTTCCTTATCTTGTAGTATCTCCTCGATTTCGTATTCTTCTTCTCCTTTGATTAATTCCAGGGGTGGAGGTTCAGGTTGTTGTTGATTGGGGAATTTGGGTGGTATGTATGGAGTGAGGTAGACCTCATTGAATCGGTTGTGAATTTTCCACCCCATTGGTAATCGTAGTTCATATGTGGAGGGCCCTTTCTTTGCAAGGATTTCAAAGGGCCCTACTCATTTGTTGTCCAGTTTTTTAGCTGGTCATGATAGATGTAGGTTGGTTGCGTCCAACCATACTTGGTTACCTGGTTGATAGTCTCAACTGAGTTGTTGGTGACTATCATATGCCTGCTTCATTGTTTCCACTGTTTTGGTTAGGGCCACCTCTGCCTGCTGTTGGGTTTCCTGGAGTCCTTCCACAAAGTTGGCTACTGATGGGGTTTCAGTAGCTTGGGGTGTGACAGTGATGAGGCTGGCTGTAGGCACCTGTGGAATAGTGAGCATGCTAAAAGGCAAACCTCAAAAACCCACACACACACTCACACAACTACACAAACTACAATCACCCTCGTAAGTTCTAGGGGGAGCGATTATTTCTAATGCGATCCAACTATACTTCAATATCTTGAAGAGTTTCTCTTATTCTCAGTGCTCTTAGCAAAGCTAAGCTTTCTCTAATGAATTCCTAAGTCTAGGAACTTTTTACAGGAAGGTCATTCACTGGCATGACGCAACCTTCAAGGCAGATTTGAGTTATAATACACAAGGGACACTGATCCTGACAGAAACAGAGGCAATACATGCTGAAACTTTAGTGAGCTCACTAAAAGAACACCACAGGCAAGTACTGACTTAGCCCACTCGCTACACAACTGTATGTAGGGGTTCTCCAACCAACTTCAACAGATGATCTCAACTCAAGAACACTTCAGAAGTGCTCAGAAACAGATTCAGAAAACAGAAACTCGAAACAGAACTGATGCAGAACAGACAGAACAGAACAGAACAGATCTCACTTTTCCTCTTCAGAACATACTCTGAATGGACTTATCAACACTCAATGGAACAGAACAGCTTCACTGATTCTTATTCTCTCAGAACTAAGATTACAAATGTTGTGCAGTATCCAGACTCCTACATGCATAGCACATTGCCACCACTGCCTTACTGAGCATCCGAGTTGGACTTCCCAGTTTTAGTCTCATTTCTATAGTGAGCTCACTAAACATGTGCCAAGAGGTGCTCTCCTGACACCCACAGGCTTGTTCTCTAGCACTGACAGGTCTAGGTGCATGGAACTATCAGTCCTGGCATATGTCGTTCAAGACTTCTTTCTTGGATTCACAGAGGCTTCTCATAGACATGGCAACAAGTGAGTCTTCGAACAATGGGACTCAGAACAATGGGACGCAGGCTCACGGACTTCAGCTGAAGCCCATTGCCCAAGTTTGTGCCAGTGATATCTGTCATCTTGCTTAAGGATTTCCTCAGATTTTCAGGTATGATGTATCACAGTTAGTGAGTGTGCTAAGTATTCTCAGTGTTACTGCAATCTTCAAGGTTTTATCTAGCTCCCACAAGCATGCTTGTAAGTTAGAGCCTAAGGCATTGGGTATAGGGTTTGGCCTTCTCATCATGCATGCCTGTCAGGTACAGTGCTGTGACTAAGTCCTGTTTAGAATCCCATTGCTTCTTATGCCATAAGTTATATTCCATATCATTGCACTGCATAGCATTAGTGTTGATGCATAGTTTTAGTCCACTCACTCACTATATCTCAGTATGTGTGTAAAACACGTTAGATTGCAAAATTACCTGCGTAAATAGGCTGCAGTCACAACAGCAGGTTACTAATGAGCTGGACAGGAATGATGACAAGAATTGGATGACAATCAAGGAAGAATGACATGAAGCAAATGACTAAAGCGAAAAATAGGGGTGAATTCATGACAGAATTCACAGAAATCTTAGTGTCCTTGACCCTCTGATCCTGCTTCTCGCATCAACATACTCATACATTGCCTCAGCTCTGTCATCTATTCTCTGCTGAACCTTTCCCAGGGTGTGCTTGACCCTCTCCATCTGCTGCTTCAGGTCTGCCAACTGTTGCCACAGATTCTTAGTAGTCTGCTCAGGGCTGGGATAATGTATGATATCATGGAGATGTGATATTCTGAGGGTAAGATGCTTAACGACATGCATCCACAGATGGATGCCAGTAGCAAGAAGGAAGAGACCAGTGCTGAACCAAGTGAGGATGTCTTTGCCTGTGATCAGAGTTAGGATGTAGCAAAGAAATGAGGCTCCGAGGAAGGGAGACACTGTTGCTGGAATCAAAAAGAATATTTCCATTCTTCAGAGTTCTGTATAGGCATTTTTCTTGTGAATGTCATTGGGAGAAGGATCAGGGGATAAGTGTGATGAGTGTCGATGAGGTCTAGCATTCTGATACATGGACCAAGGAACTGTGCAGAAAGGAGTGAGGATTGCATAGGAGCAGTGGAACTCACCTTCAATAAACTGGTGCAAGTGAAATAGCAAGAGTCATATATACAGCAAGTTTTTCATGAAGTCACCTCCAGTAAGAAGGTTTCCTACTAGTGAAATGAGGGCTGCGACAACAGCAAGATCAAATTGGTACCAAGCACAATTACTCAATGTCTCATCCTCGATGTCTCTAGTCATGCAAACATCCTGCTCTGAGTGTTTTGTAGACACCGAGGGCTTTCCAGACATTTGCAGCAAGTCATCACTGGATTCCATGCCTGTCTCGTATTCCTGATCTGTCAGCAATGTGTCCTCTGTATGATGCTGACAACCAGGTGGTCTGCAGATATTGGCTCTGCATGCATTATTATGGTTTTGTCCAGTAGTGATGCTTTCATCATTAGGATCTGGATTTTGGGAACGTGAACTACTGCTGCCAGTATATTTTAGTGGTTGATAGTATACTTAATATGTGCATCATCCCAACTACTAGCCTGCATGAAGATGTTATCAGTACAGTAGTGTCATCTTTTCTGAATAAGATCCATCAGATGGAAGGGTTTGAAGGTTTGAAGGCAGATCTGCATTGATCAGAGATCCAAATTCTTTCCATCCTCTGACCATCATCAATATGGAGCACAGACACACAAAGCCTCAACTGACCAGCACTCCCTATCATTGCTTGACTGGAGATGTGCATGCAAACAGAAGCTCTCTTGACATGTCATTGTTCAATTTTTTGGTGTGGAGATTCTTCACTGTGATGGTACTGTGATGGGAAGTTGGCAGTAACAGCACACAAGAGTTAGACAAAGCAAGAGCTGTTGGACGGAGGAAAGACCAGGTTAAAAGAACCTCTATTCAAGTAGTTCTAGCATACGTAGGAGAATTTTATGGTCTTATATACTGGTAGGATAGGGACTATTACTAAAAGGAATAAGGAAGGCTAATCAATAAGTAAATGATGGGATAAGTAAACAGTGGGATAAGTAATAGGAAAGTGGGATCACCGCAGTAAAGTAGAAGAGCTATATAATAAATAGATAAGGAAGAAGATAAGATAAAGAAAGAAAGAGAGAGAATGAGAGTACTGGCATGAGGAGCTGCCCCTTACTAGCATTGTGAGCCCTGTGCTGAACATCAGCATGAGAAGCTCAGGCCCTGTCTCCATAGGTGAGAAGGGATTATCCTCTTGGCCTGTGAAGGAGGAGTCTGTCACATCTGAGGACTTCAATCTTCCTAGCCAGTATGGTGGTCGCGTTACTGCAAATGAGCTGAATTCCATCAGTTTTCAAACTGTATTGGATGTAGATCTTCTGGATCTTGATGACAATTCTGTCATTCTCCACCCTAGCAAAGTTATGGGATGGGAGACTGTGGGAAAGAAGAAGGGTAGATGTACCCCTTTGCTGGACCCTGGTTCGAAAACCACTGGGTTTACTGCTAGCATGAAAAATAGATATGAAATTTTATCTGATTCTGATGTTGATGAAAATAAGGTCGCTATTGAGAATACCATAAAATTTGTACATGATGTATGCCAGAAGCATTTTGAAAAGCAATTTCTCAATATTCCAAGTCAAGTCCAAAGGGAACAAGAGGCTGTGGCAGAGGCAGCTCAACTCGAAGCTCAGGCTGGAGCTATGCAAGCTGAAAATGTGTCAAACTTAGAGTCAGATACTGAACATGAGGCAGGAAATGAAATACCTGTGGAAAAGCCTTTTGTCAACAAAGGAAAGATTCATGATTTTTGTGACACTGGAATTCCAGGGATTGACAATGAGGAATTGGATCCTGAGAATCAGTGCCGTGCTTGGGAGAACTTCAATTTCTTGAAGGACGAGGATCCTGAAGTGCAAAAGGTGATCTATGAAGATGTCATGAGATCATGGAAGGCACACAAGTGTTCCTCTGCCAAACCTGACAGCCAGATTGGTGGTTCATCCAATGTGGAACCTGAAGTATTCTGTATCTCCACACCTGTAATGAAGGGTGAGGTTTCAGGTGATGGAGAGGCCATGAACTTTACCCCACCAATTACCAGCACCCCAATCTCAAAGCCTGTAAAGAAGGTTAGGATCGCGGAGGATGTCAAGACCAAAGAGATGTTCGATGCAACTTTGGGCAACCAAAAGGTACATTCCAAGTTATCGAGCCCTTCAGTCCTGAAGGCTAGTAGTCTTGGTGGTTTGCAGGGATGGTCCCCATTATCAGGTTCTAACAATGTGATAGGTAACCCCCACATTGATATGCGGTGTTGCGACTGCAGCCTATTTACATGTGTAATTTTGCAATCTAGAGTGTTTTACACACATACTGAGAGATAGTGAGTGAGCGGACTAAAACTACGCATCGACACTAAAGCTACGCAGTGCAATGATATGGAATATAACTTATGGCATAAGAAGCAATGGGATTCTAAACAGGACTTAGTCACAGCACTGTACCTGACAGGCATGCATGATGAGAAGGCCAAACCCTATGCCCAATGCCTTAGGCTCTAACTTACAAGCACACTCATGAGAGCTAGATAAAACCTTGAAGATTGCACTGACACTGAGAACACTTAGCGCGCTTGCTAACTGTGATGCGTTGTACCTGAAAATCTGGGGAAATCCTTAAGCAAGATGACAGATATCACTGGCATGAGCTTGGGCAATGGGCTTCAGCCAAAGTCCACGAGCCCGCATTCCATTGTTCTGAGTCCCATTGTTCAAAGACTCACTTGTTGCCATGTCTACAAGAAGCCTCTGTGAATCCAAGAAAGAAGTCCTGAATGACATACACCAGAAGTGATAGTTCCGTGTGCCTAGACCTGTCAGTCACTAGAGAACAAGCCCGTGGGTGTCGGGAGAGCACCTCTTGGCACGCATTTAGCAAGCTCACTATAGAAATGAGACTAAAACTGGGAAGTCCGACTCGGATGCTCAGTAAGGCAACGGTGGCAACATGCTATGCATGTAGGAGTCTGGGTACTGCACGACGTTTGTAATTCTAATTCCCCTGTAGTATAAGTAGGCTGGTTACAGTAGGTAGAAGCCAAGTTTCGAGCCCCCAAGTTCCCGTGCACACATTGAAAGCAGTACTGTAACAAAGGACCAGTTTGTGACTTCGAGCTGTGCATAGAATTAGCAAGCTCACTCAGAGAAATACAAGATACCCTTTTGATAAGACTTTTGAGAACTTAGTCAGAGTGAATACGAATCAGTGACGCTGTTTCTGTTCTGTTAAGTGTGATAAGTCTGTTCAGAGAATGTGTTGAAGTGGAAATCTGAGATCTGTTCTGTTCTGTTCTGTTTCAGTCTGTTCCATGTCAGTTCTGTTCAAAGTTCCATTTCTGAATCTGTTTTCCGAGCACTTCTAAAGTGTTCTTGAGTCGAGATAACCTGCTGGAGTTAGTTGGAGAACCCCTACATACAGTTGTGTAGTGAGCGGGCTAAGTCAGTGCTTGCCTGTGGTGTTCTTCTAGTGAGCTCACTAAAGTTTCAGCATGTATTGCCTCTGTGTCTGTCGGGATCAGTGTCCCTTGTGTATTATAACTCAAATCTGCCTTGAAGGTTGCGTCACACCTGTTAGCGACCGATTTCACAAACAAGATCAAACAACTAAGCGTGACTCGCACTTCGGTCAGGCGCTTTATGTTGTCCGCAGGTTTGCGTTAGGGGAGCTATCGCTTAGTTGAGCGAGAGTGAGTTCAGACTAAGTTATCGGGTGAATAAACTTTAGTTCGAGACTGAGGTTTAAGACCTGCAGTCGAGCTACTTAAATACAGTTTGGGTCGTGCTAAATATACTACAAGTGTCTGCAACGGTGCGTTAAGCACACAATACCCTCATGGTGAATGCGATCAAGTCCGGATATTTAGCATAGCAGGATTACGATGGAGCCGATAAGATATGATACGGCGTGAAATCGTAATATTACCCCCCTGTTAAGGCAGTCGTCCCGACTGCATTATAGTTTGGTTTCGGAAGGTAGGCTCCCACGAGTGATGGTGCATTTGGTTTTATCAGGTATTCTTGAATAGCCTGTACCAATGGATGGTCGGTTTCCGACTCCGTTACTGATTCGTGTTCTGACCAGGAATCGGATTCGTCCTCGTTTTCCCACCACTCTGCTGGGGGTCTGGTGATGAAAGAGACTTGTTCGAAGTCTTCAATCGCGTCTCGGGCATTGTCCAGGTCTTGTTCGTCTACCCAGGAGTTTTCTTCTCGTGGATATCCCTTCCACTTTACCAGGTATTCGATTCCTGTTCCGCGTCTCCTCCTTCTCTTTCCTCCTCCTGTTTCTCTTCTGTCTACAATTTCCTCTACTTCGTATTGCTCCTGTCCGTCTATGAGATCTGGCGGTGGTGGCAAGGGCTGTATCTGGATTGGGAACTCCGGCGGATGGTATGGGGTTAAGAGTACTTCGTTGAAACGGTCATGGATTTTCCAAGAGGCTGGCAGTCGTAGTTTGTAGGCTGACGCGCCGTGCTTGGAGATTACTTCGAAGGGTCCTACACGCTTGTCTCCTAGCTTCTTCATTGGTCGTGGAAGCGCTAGGTTTGTAGAGTCTAACCATACTTTGTCTCCTGGTTTGTACTCTATCGCCGCTTGTTGGTGTTTATCGTATTGCCTTTTCATGCTTTCGGCGGCTTTTTCTAGTGCTTTCGCCGTTTGTTCATGTACCTTCTGTATGTCCATTATGAATTCCCTTGCCGCCGGATTGGTTCCTTCCTTGATCGTTAGTGGAGCTAGATGGGGTTTTTGTCCGTGATTTATTTCAAACGGGGAGTAGCCAGTTGCTGAGTGCCTTCGATTGTTGTGCTGGAATGCGGCAAGTGGCAGCCATTCGCTCCAGTCACTTTGTCGATGATTTATGAAAATGCGGAGATATTTTTCTATCTCCTGGTTTGCGCGTTCGGTTTGTCCGTCCGTCTGTGGATGATACGCCGTGGACGGGTTCCCTTGAATGTGGAGCATTTCGTATAATTCCTTCATGAATTTTGATACGAACTGTGGCCCCCGATCTGATATCACCTTTTGCGGCATTCCATGCTTCGCCCATACGTGGTCCCTAAGGATCTTGGCCCATCCTTTCGAGGTTAGTTCGGTGGAGCATGGTACTGGGATTACTTCCTTCGAGAAGCGGTCTACGATCATTAGGATGGCGTTGTACCCATTGGAGTCCGGTAATTCGCCTATCATGTCGACAGTGATATGTTCCCATGGTCGAGATGGTACTGCATGCGGATGGAGGGGAGCTCTCTTCCGCTGCGTGCTTGTCTTGGTGCGTTGGCACGCTTCGCATCCTTTCACGTACTTTTCCACGTCGTTTTTGAGCTTTGGCCACCAGTATTCTCGTTGTACGAGTTCCTTGGTTTTTTCGATCCCAGGGTGTCCGGCAGTAATATGGTCATGATGGATGGCTATTAGTTCTCCTCGTAGTTTGGCGTCCCGAGGCACGTATAGCCGTCCATCATAGTACATCAGCCCGTCCTTCTGTGTTATTCCCCTGGAATGGTGAAGCGATGCTTCAATCCCTTTGTCCCATCTCGTTACATCTCGCAGCGCCGTCCGAAGGCGTTTATGGATTTCCTCTTCCCCGGGCATGATTAGTGCTCGGAACATCTCTGGTTTCAGCATCACTACTTCTCGGTTATCCTCTCCTCCTTGGTCGTGGTCTGCTCTTCTGGATAGTAGGTCTGCCTTCTTGTTTGCCGTCCCTGGTTTGTGATGCAGGGTGAAGTGGTATTCTGCTAGTTCCGTTACCCATCGTGCTTGCCTTCTATTGAGCTTTTGGGGTTTACGGAAATATTGCAGGTTCTGGTGATCTGTCCAGATTTCAAACTCCTGGTAGGCGCCCATTAGGTAGTGTCTCCAGTCTTCGAGGGCCAACATTATCGCCAGAAGTTCCTTGTCATAGATTTCGTAGTTGCGTTCCGTCACGGTTAGGGCCTTTGAAAGAAACGCTACTGGCCTCCATTTTCCTTCTTGTTCCTGGGATAGCACGGCTCCTACAGCTCCTTCACTTGCGTCCGCTTCTACTCTATACCTTCCGGTACGATTTGGTATTGCCAGCACTACTTCTTCTGCCAACTTTCTTTTTATTTCTCGAAACGCCTTCTCTTGTGCCGTTCCCCAAACCCACTCTGTCTTTCCGGTAAGTTGGGTTAGCGGTCTTACGTGTTTGCTGTAGTCCTGGATGAACCGTCTGTAAAAGTTGGTGAACCCTAAGAAGGATTGTAATTCTCGCTTCTTGGTAGGTTGCGGCCACTCCGTGATTCCTTTTACTTTTACGGGATCCATGCGAATTGCTCCTTGGCTAATGATCACCCCGAGGTATTCGGTCTCTAATACCTCGAATTCGCATTTCTCCGCCTTCAGGAATAGGTTATTGGCGCGGAGGATCTGCAGGACCTCTCTCACAACGGCCTGGTGTCTGTTCTTGTCTTTTGTACAGATCAAGATGTCGTCCAGGTATACTGTAACGTCTCCTCGTGCGATTTGTTCTTTGAACAAATCGTTCATCATCCATTGGAATGTTGCCGGGGAATTGGTGAGTCCGAAAAACATCACCATGGGTTCGAACAATCCCCGATTGGTTCGGAAAGCTGCTTTCCATTCGTCTCCCCTTTTGATGCGTACATTGTTGTATCCCCATCTGACGTCTAATTTTGTGAAATATTTGGCATCCTTGAGCTGGTCCATCAATTCCCCAATTAAGGGGAGAGGGTATCGGTTCTTTATGGTCAGCTCGTTCAGCTTTCGATAATCTTGCACTGGTCGAAGCTTCCCATCTTTCTTTTTGACAAAAAAGAAGGGTGACGCCATGGGGGACTTGGAGGGCCGAATCCTTCCCGATTCCAGATTTTCGTCTAGAAATTTATCTAGCTCTTCTTGTTCCGTAGGGTTCAGGGGGTAGACTTTGCAGTCTAGACTGGCTTGTGCGTTGGGAATGAGTTCTATAGCATGGTCCCATGGTTTTCGAGGTGGTAGCTCGTCAAAGTTTTCCTTGTCGAAGACGTCTTTGAAGTCCCGATACGCTTCGGGGACTATTTCTTCAAACGTCTTGGTTTCCTTTGCCTGGTTTGCTTTGGCGGCTAACTCGTTGGCTTTACTTCCCATGGCCCGTACTCGGAAGGCTTCTTCAAAGTCCACTATGAGGATAGTGTCTCCTTCCTCTACTTCTGTTCCCCATCCTTGCTCTGGATCTTCGTCTGGTAATTGGAATGGTATC